GTTGGGAAAAACCATCACTTGTTTCCCATAATGTAAAAAGTGACTGAATGTGAAAACCATCACTTGTTTTCCCAAAAATAATTGAAAGAAAACCCATTGTTTCCAAAAAATGTGAGAACCAGTGAAAAGAATGTGAAAACCATCACTTTTTCCCAATAATGGTGAGAAATGACTAAAAGTGAAAACCATCACTTGTTTTTACCAAAATGTGAAAAGTCGAAATTTAAAAAAACCATCACTTGTTTCCCAAAAAATGTGAGAACAGGCTGAAGGAAAAAACCCTCACTTTTTCCAATAATGTGAAAACAGGACTGAATGGAAAAACCCTCACTTGTTTCCAAAATTGTGGAAAACAGTGACTGAAAATGAAAACCCCTACTTGTTTCCAATAATGTGGAAAAATGGGGCGGGAAAAAAAACATCACTTTTTTCCCAAAATGGAGAACAGTAACTGAAGTAAAACCATCACTTGTTTTCCCATAAAGTGAGAACAGTGAACTGAAGGGGAAAACCCCCACTTGTTTTCCCCTTTTAAAAATTTAAAAAAGTGACGAAGTGAAAAAAATCCCCTTGTTTTCCCAAAATGTGAGAAAAGTACTGAAAGTGAAAAACCATCACTTGTTTTTCCAAAAATGTGAGAAAAGTGACGAAGTGAAAACCACACTTGTTCCCAATAATTTAGAAAGTGACTAAAGTAAAACCATACTTTTTTCCCTAAAGTAAAATTGCCCTAAGTGAAACATACTGAAATGTAAAAAATCACTTGTTTTGCCCTTATGTGAGAACAGTGACTGAAAATGAAAACCATCACTTGTTTTCCCAAAATGTGAACAGTTGTTTAAAAAAAATTTTTAAAAATGTGGCAGTGACTGAAAGTGAAAAACCACATTTTTTTTCCCCCTTTAATGTGGCCCGTGACAATGGGCCTAATTGTTTTCCCCAAAAAATTGGAAAAAAAAAAGATATGTTTCTCAATAATGTGAAAAGTGACTGAATGTGAAAACCATCATTGTTTCCCAATAATGTGAGAACAGTGACTGAAAGTGAAAACCATCACTTGTTTCCCAATAATGTGAGACCCAACAGTGACTGAATGTGAAAAACCATTCACTTGTTTCCCCAATAATATGAGAACAGTGACTGAAATGTGAAAACCATCACTTGTTTCCAGTAAATGTGGACGGAAAAGTTGACTGGGAAAGGTGAAAACCATCACTTTTGTTTTCAATAATGTGAGAACAGTGACTGAAGTGAAAACATCACTTGTTTCCAGTAATGTGAAGAACAGTGAACTGAAAGTAAAAAACCATCACTTGGGTTTCCCAATAATGTGGGAACAGTGACTGAAAGTGAAACCATCATTGTTTCACTCGTTGCCATTTAATATCACATGGCTATTAGTGCTTCCCAATAATGTGAGAACAGTGAACTGAATGTGAAAACCATCACTTGTTTCCCAATAATGTGAGAACAGTGACTGAAAGTGAAAACCATCACTTGTTTCCCAATAATGTGAAACAGTGACTGAAAGTGAAAAACCATCACTTGTTTCCCAATAACTGTGAGAACAGTGACTGAAAATGTAAAACCATCACTTGTTTCCCAGTAAATGAGAACAGTGACTGAATGGAAAACCACACTTGTTTCCAGTAATGTGAGAACAGTGACTGAAAGTGAAAACCATCACTTGTTTCCAATAATGTGCAGCCAGTAATGAATGAGGGGGGGGTGAAAACCATCCACTTTTTCCCCAATAATGTGAGAACAGTGACTGAAAGTGAAAACCATCACGTTTGTTTCCAATAATGTGAGAACAGTGGACTGAATGTGAAAACCATCACTTGTTTTCCCAAATAATGTGAAAGAACAAGTGACTGAATGTGAAAACCATCACTTGTTTCCAAGTAATGTGAGAACATAGTGACTGAAAAGTGAAAACCATCACTTGTTTCCCATAATGTGAGAACAGTGACTGAATGTGTAAAACCATCACTTGTTTCCAAATAATGTGAGAACAAAAAAAGTTGACTGAATGTGAAAAACCATCACTTGTTTCCCAATATGTGAGGAACAGTTGTTTCACTGAATGTGAAAACCATGACTGAAACAAGTAATGTGTAAAAACCCATCAATTGTTTCCAAAAAGTTGAGAACAGTTAATGTGAATAGGTGAAAACCATGCTAGTTTGCTTGCAATAATGTGAGAAAGTGATGAAATGAAAACCATCACTTGTTTCCCAATAATGTGAGAAACAGTGGCTGGAAAGTGAAAAACATCACTGTTTTCCCAGTAATGTGAGAACAGTGACTGAATGTGAAAACCATCACTTGTTTCCAATAATGTGAGAACAGTGACTGAAAGTGAAAACCATCACTTGTTTCACTCGTTGCCAATTTAATATCACATGCTAGTTATTGCTTCCCAATAATGTGAGAACAGTGACTGAATGTGAAAACCATCACTTGTTTCCCAATAATGTGAGAACAGTGACTGAAAGTGAAAACCATCACTTGTTTCCCAATAATGTGAGAACAGTGACTGAATGTGAAAACCATCACTTGTTTCCCAATAATGTGAGAACAGTGACTGAATGTGAAAACCATCACTTGTTTCCCAATAATGTGAGAACAGTGACTGAACCTGTGAAAACCATCACTTGTTTCCCAATAATGTGAGAACAGTGACTGAATGTGAAAACCATCACTTGTTTCCCAATAATGTGAGAACAGTGACTGAATGTGAAAACCATCACTTGTTTCCCAATAATGTGAGAACAGTGACTGAAAGTGAAAACCATCACTTGTTTCCCAATAATGTGAGAACAGTGACTGAATGTGAAAACCATCACTTGTTTCCCAATAATGTGAGAACAGTGACTGAATGTGAAAACCATCACTTGTTTCCCAATAATGTGAGAACAGTGACTGAAAGTGAAAACCATCACTTGTTTCCCAATAATGTGAGAACAGTGACTGAATGTGAAAACCATCACTTGTTTCCCAATAATGTGAGAACAGTGACTGAATGTGAAAACCATCACTTGTTTCCCAGTAATGTGAGAACAGTGACTGAAAGTGAAAACCATCACTTGTTTCCCAATAATGTGAGAACAGTGACTGAATGTGAAAACCATCACTTGTTTCCCAATAATGTGAGAACAGTGACTGAAAGTGAAAACCATCACTTGTTTCCCAATAATGTGAGAACAGTAACTGAAGTGAAAACCATCACTTGTTTCCCAATAATGTGAGAACAGTGACTGAATGTGAAAACCATCACTTGTTTCCCTATAATATGAGAACAGTGACTGAATGTGAAAACCATCACTTGTTTCCCAGTAATGTGAGAACAGTGACTGAAAGTGAAAACCATCACTTGTTTTCCCAATAATGTGAGAAAAGTGACTGAAAGTGAAAACATCACTTGTTTCCCAAGTGAAACCAACTTGTTTCCCAATAATGTGAGAACAGTGACTGAATGTAAAAAAACCATCACTTGTTTTCCCAATAATGTGGGAACAGTGACTGAAAGTGAAAACCATCACTTGTTTCACTCGTTGCCAATTTAATATCACATGCTAGTTAGTGCTTCCCAATAATGTGAGAACAGTGACTGAATGTGAAAACCATCACTTGTTTCCCAATAATGTGAGAACAGTGCCTGAAAGTGAAAAACCATCACTTGTTTCCCAATAATGTGAGAACAGTGACTGAAAGTGAAAACCATCACTTGTTTTCCCCAATAACGTGAGAACAGTGACTGAAAATGAAAACCATCACTTGTTTCCCCAGTAAATGAGAACAGTGACTGAATGTGAAAACCATCACTTGTTTCCCAGTAATGTGAGAACAGTGACTGAAAGTGAAAACCATCACTTGTTTCCCAATAATGTGAGCACAGTAACTGAATGTGAAAACCATCACTTGTTTCCCAATAATGTGAGAACAGTGACTGAATGTGAAAACCATCACTTGTTTCCCAATAATGTGAGAACAGTGACTGAAAGTGAAAACCATCACTTGTTTCCCAATAATGTGAGCACAGTAACTGAATGTACAAAACCATCACTTGTTTCCAAATAATGTGAGAACAGTGACTGAAAGTGAAAACCATCACTTGTTTCCCAGTAATGTGAGAAACAGTGACTGAATGTAAAAACCATCACTTGTTTCCAAATAATGTGAGAACAGTGACTGAAAGTGAAAACCATCACTTGTTTCCCAATAATGTGGGAACAGTGACTGAAAGTGAAAACCATCACTTGTTTCCCAATAATGTGAGAACAGTAACTGAATGTAAAAAAACCATCACTTGTTTCCAAATAATGTGAGAACAGTGACTGAAAGTGAAAACCATCACTTGTTTCCCAGTAATGTGAGAACAGTGACTGAAAGTGAAAACCATCACTTGTTTCCCAATTATGTGAGAACAGTGACTGAAAGTGAAAACCATCACTTGTTTCCCAGTAATGTGAGAACAGTGACTGAATGTGAAAACCATCACTTGTTTCCCAATAATGTGAGAACAGTTGTTTCACAATAATGTGAGAACAGTGACTGAATGTGAAAACCATCACTTGTTTCCCAATAATGTGAGAACAGTGACTGAAAGTGAAAACCATCACTTGTTTCCCAGTAATGTGAGAACAGTTGTTTCACAATAATGTGAGAACAGTGACGGAATGTGAAAACCATCACTTGTTTCCCAATAATGTGAGAACAGTGACTGAAAGTGAAAACCATCACTTGTTTCCCAATAATGTGAGAACAGTAACTGAATGTAAAAAACCATCACTTGTTTCCAAATAATGTGAGAACAGTGACTGAAAGTGAAAACCATCACTTGTTTCCCAGTAATGTGAGAACAGTGACTGAATGTGAAAACCATCACTTGTTTCCAAATAATGTGAGAACAGTGACTGAAAGTGAAAACCATCACTTGTTTCCCAATAATGTGAGAACAGTGACTGAAAGTGAAAACCATCACTTGTTTCCCAATAATGTGAGAACAGTGACTGAATGTGAAAACCATCACTTGTTTCCCAATAATGTGAGAACAGTGACTGAAAGTGAAAACCATCACTTGTTTCCCAGTAATGTGAGAACAGTGACTGAAAGTGAAAACCATCACTTGTTTCCCAATAATTTGAGAACAGTGACTGAATGTAAAAAACCATCACTTTTTTCTCAATAATGTGAGAACAGTGACTGAATGTAAAAAAACATCACTTGTTTCCCAATAATGTGAGACCCAATAGAACCATAGCCTTCAAACTTTATAGGATCATCTGGTCATTGAGTAAAACACCCTTATTGTTTGTTTCTTTGCATTAATATTTTAAGTCCAAGGCAATAGTGACCTTGACTTTAAAAACCGTTTCAAAGTAGAGAACCAACCCATAGTCTTCTTGCTATAAATAATAATCATTCTCATTGATTAGAAAAGCCCTGTTGTTTGACACAGGTGTATTATGGCCAAGTCACAACCACGCTGAATGTTTTAACTGTATGTGTACATATATGAAGTTATCTAAGGAAGAAATGCTCAATGATGTGCTGTTGTAATTACTATATATATCAGTAAAATTAGTAGTTAGTTGCCTGTTCACATTTAAACTACACGTATTAACAAGACAGACGTTAAACTTTCCTTTCAATCACTATGAACCTGGCTGTGAGAAATGTAGGGACCTTTTTTTATTTCGTGAAAACTTGTTATTTAGTTGAGAAACCTGACAATAGTATTTACTATTATAACTACATATATTAATAAACAAATAGTCCACTGTGTAAGGTTAATAAAAAAGTTGCCTTCAAGCTAAGTTAATATCACATGCTAGTACTTACTAAGTAGTAACTTCACATATCTCAATCTGATTAGGTATCGATAATTGACAGGTTACGCGAATAGCAGATAAAAACGGTAAAAGTACCGTTTTAAAACGTTAAAAAACACATTTTTGAACTAACTGATTCCAAAATTAAATCACGAATGTGTTCATAAAAGGTTGATAAATCTATCAAGCAAAAAATCTCATTTTAGGTATTTTCAGTGATAATTGACTCACTCCGTTGTTACCTTAATGCATAAGATTTAAATAAATAACAATTGTTACTAAAGTAAGTTGGTGTAAATGACATTTATGGTAGTACCACGGAAAGTGTTTGTTGTCACCTTAAGGAACATTAATGTCCCTCAAATATGGCTAGCCCAGTCGAAACCATGTCATGCAGAAAATGTCTTCAGTATACTAGTTGCCCCGTACAACACTACATCAACACATCATCAAATTACTTACATCGAACTTGATTGAGAGAACTTGACTGTTGGCACCACATAATCGACAAAATCTCATGCAACATTTTACAGCTTTAACAGGACAATTATGTCAATATGATAAAATCTGGTTTTGTTGTCATTAGTAATGATGTTACACAGTATCACATGACCCATACAATAGCATTTTTATTTAAGGAAAATCATGCAGATTAAGTGTAATGTCAAATTCAGTTGCCAGACAAAAACGTATAGAATGCCAATAAATTCCAGTTGAAAAGTACACACTCTTGTGGACCGCAAGGTCTTAAAATGTAAATATGTGATCTTAGAAATAGATAATAGTGTTTCACTAGGTCAAAGGCAAAACATGAACAAGCAAATGAAAGTAATAGCCGTTGGATATTAGATAAAAGTCGCATCTGTGCGCATGAATTTTAACTAATTTCAGTTTCCGTTAAAAGTGTATTTAAATATGAATAAATTGCTGTTATTTCCTGGATTTTCAGTAACTTTCGTCTGTATTTACAATAGTTGCAATAATTTGTACTAAATTGATACAAAAATATTTCTGAAATGGATGAAAACTTTGTATATAAACAAAAATGTATTTTTTCAAGGGGTGTAAAGATAATTATGGATGGCACGTACTGTATACTGTAACACGTCCAGCAAGGTGAAGCACATGATGGCACACCCCGTCCAGTCTTGTCTCAAATATGATCTCAAGTCAAGTCTGATCAAATAGATCTCATGCCCATGCACATTATGCCACCCTGAGTCTAGTCACGTACAAGATAACATGTAAGGATTGTCAATCACATATTCATTGAATATACGATGTATTGCATGACAATGTAGTACCCGTGACAGCCATAGTTACTCCCCTTTTTTAATTGAACGCCTCGAAACAGAAATGTAAAAACAAGCGACAATCAACGGTTGGCCAGGTTGAGGTAAAAATTAATTCGTGCAAGATCGACAGGTAATAAATTCTTTTATCTTAAACATTTAAATGCAATAATATTCTAACTTTTCACATTTTTTTAAAAGTTTAAACTTTTAATGAATGTGATGTAAGTAAAAAAACATTTTGCTAAATATAGAATCTTGATCTTCACTACTTCAGTGTATTATATTTCAAACATAATTTATATTGGTAAATTCACACAAGCATGATTAAACGTTGATTTGTACATTTTAGTTGACATGCTGCGGTGATTTATATACTGTACTGTGTACATTTATCGTTTCTAACATATAAAAAACTGTTGCTATTTCTAACTGAAATCAATGAGAAAGTTGATCCAGGAAAATACATGTATATAATGACTACAACCAGGTGACATTATTTCTGAAGTGAACGTTATCGTGTGTATACAGTAGATCTTCACATTGTTAATGTAAAATTATAAGAGCCTTTAACTTGATTTTTATAAAGCTCTAGGTACTACGTTTTTTACAATATACCGGCCACATGTGAATGTGATTGCAATCGACGTTCTTTACAAAAGTGAAGAAAAAAAATGAAACCGAATTTAAATTTTCTTCCGTTGATATATTTCTTAAATTTAAAACAAACAGAACTTATCTCTATCAAAGTTATAATAATAAATAATACTGACGATTTTTAATGTTTATCACCCGATAATAGCGGCATTCTTTTGATTACATACCGTTTTAATATTGTTTTGATTGATTTATAAAATACTTTCGTGATTTACTACTTAAGATTCTAGCTGCCCCACGTGCACAATTTCAGACATGCTAAGATCTTGAGCCGTACCTTAAATAATCATACAGCTTCCTTATTTTAAAGAGTTTTACTTTCCTGGGTGTCTTTGACCCACATGGGTATGCAAGCAAAGTAAGCGACCTTGTTACCGTTAAAGTTCCTGTATGTTGTAATTAAGGTTGTTACCACACTTAAGTGAAATGTTATAGATGTATATAATTTCAAGCATCGAAGAAAATGTAAAATATGTACTGCAAATATTTCAATTTGTGCACATTATAATTATATGTAATCATTAAAATATATGCATTAATTTCTTATTGCAAAATTTGACTAAGACTTTATAAAGATAAATTTCTAATTACCTCCATTTATTAACATGAAAATGTAAATTCGTTAATATCTTTACAAATAAAGTTTTTTGGAACTTAAAATATTGATAAATCTTCATTTTGAGCATTTTATTTATGATATAAAACCATAAGAAAATTGTGTTACAGGATCTTTAAACGGTTATATATTTTGTCCGGAATCCAATTTTTAAATATATTCATACGATTTCAAATAGAGAAAATACGAATCCCTAAAGAAAGCCCAACACGTCACAATTAAAAATGTTGCAGGCTCGGTTTGATTGAGCCTGTTCATGGACGGTACTATCAAGCCCCCTAGCACCGACTTAAGCAGAATTCAACATTTAATATGAACTGGTACAATTTTGAAACATTCGCAGATGTGTTCATATGGCGGTTATCAAAGACAAGTCAAAACGTTGCGTTTACATATTATGTTATTATTTGTCCTTAACCAGTGTGGGTTTTAATTCCTACATGATCGTTTGAATAAGTTATCCGGATAGCTCACGGAAAGCCTTACGGTCTTTATCATATACCTATGCATATATTTTTACATCTTTCCTGCTGTATTACATCACGGATTTATATTACATATAAATCCGTGATTACATGCACAAATACACCCCAATTTCGTTACTAGCACAACGGATCACAATTGGCGCTTACACGCGCATTTTAAAACATTAGCCTAGTAAAAT